ATGGGGTTGGGGGGGGAGGGGAGGGCGCACCCAGCCATAAGGGACCCTCCCCTGCCGGCTCGCAGCTCCTGCACCACAAAGGACCCTGCTGTGCTGCTCTGTTCTGCGTGGGGGTGGGGCTGTTGCTGCCTCGCGGCCGGACCCGACCAACTCGGGGTTTGCTCCGGCCGCTGCTGCGCCTGCGCGGGCTACCTGCTGTGGTGGGGGCGGGGCTCAATCTTCCAAAGCGCCGCGTCAGGCTCTCGCGCGGGCCCCATGCTGCTGACCCTGCTCTAAGCAGGGCGGATGAGAGTTTTAAAACACTGGGCGCGGGGCCTATTAAAGCGCGGGGCCCAGGGCAGCCGCGCTGCTCGCCCTGCCTGATATCCGCCGCTGTGCATCTGACTATTGTTAGACTTTAAGGTGCCACAGGACTTCTCATGGTTTTTGCTGAAAGACTAACACAACCACCCCTCTGAAACTTGTCAGAAAGACAGTGGCTACTAGCAGGTGACACTCAGGAAAGTTAATCTGAATTACACTGGTTTTGTGATAAGTTTTCAAAAAACTGATTTTTATAAAGAAAACAGGCAATGAAAAACACAAAAAGTTTAAATTTTTAAACTGATTTTTTTAAACCAGTAGCTCTCAACCTTTCCAAACTACTGTACCCCATTCTGGAATCAGATTTGTCTTGAGTACTTCCCAAGTTTCCTCAATACCAGGGTACAAAATACCAGGACACTCCATTGTAAAACTCAGAGCTGACATCATGGCTCTGTTTCCTAGTGTTTCAGAAGTTTTTAATCCATTAATTTTTGTCTGCTATCCCTTAGATCACAAGGGTATTGAAACTGCAACAGGCCACTCACAAGGTTAGACTGTGCTCTTTTTATATGCTCAGCAGGGGAATAAGAGGAGAAATAAGACTGCCATCCTGAACCTTGGGTCCAGTGTAGAGCATAGCCAATATTCTTGGATATTTCTCCCAAGAGAAGTGGGCAGCAAGGGGAATGAGAGGAGCTTGGAGAGGGAATGCTATGGCTTTGCCCTCTGCCCCCACTCATTGGGTGAAATAGTTGGCCAGGTATGTGAGGGATGTAAGCTGCATACTCTCAAGAACTCCAGTAACTTACTTCCCAAAGCACAAAGGAGAAAGGGGATTGATGATCATGGAGAAAAAACAGGGAAGGAATTGTGACTCTGGTTTGCCTAGTTTAATTCACCGAGCTAAAGGGAAATAAGGCCACTCTACTTCTAAATGTGAATTTCCAAACTGGGAATTATTCTGCTTTAACTAATGCACTTAAAATTCGCATCTTCAATTATTCAAATTAACCTTTCCAACTTGTAGAGCCCTGTGCAGATACAGATTTTATATTCATATCCGTAAAAATGAGTCATGGCTTCATCCACATCTGCGCACACAGATACCTGCGGCTATAAAGAGAATATCAATAAATGTGCAGGGTTCTAGTTATAAAATTTGAATCTGAATTTGCATCCATATCTGCAAAAATGAGCTGGGGATATCTGCATCTACATCAGCAGATGTGGATACTTACAGATATAAACAGATATCCACAGATTTGCAGGGCTCTACTGACTTGCCCTAGTCACAGTTCCCTCTCCAGGCCTGTTCCCAGGATGGAGGTGTCTTATGCTGACTCTTATTTAGGGCTGAGTCAAGGTTCAGTCTACTCTAGACATTAATAATTTTTTCCCCAAAGAATTCCCAGTTTAGCGAGTATAAAAGATGGAAATTGTTGGAAAAGAAAAAAATTCAGCTGAGGTTAAATTAGTCACTATGAAAGACAATATAAAAAATGGTTAACTCCCTTTTTTTACCCTGTCCTAAAATATGAAGACAAAGGTATATGCTAAATTAAATAACAATTATTATATAGATCAATTGCTACTTTTGGAGTCTATTCACTATCAAAGAACTCTAAGTTAAATATTATGGCAAGATTTTAAAGACAACTGGATAACCTGAGAACCAAAATGTTTGTAGCTACGCAGACTAAGATACTAAGGACAATCATTTCATAATTCATGGCATAAATTGATCATGTCCTGGGGTCAGGAAGGAATCCTATTTTCCCATTATAAAATCTGCTTGGTCTGGGGATAATTTTTTTATATTAAAAATAACCAAATCCTTCCTTTGATGCACCATGTACTGGCCAATGTTAGATTAGATGAATCACTGGGTAGTCTATTTATGGCTATTTGTATGTAGATAAGATAAGAGTTAGATTCTCTCACCCTTACTCAGACTGAGTGGCTCTCTACTCCATGAGTACTCCATAAGATGAGTTAGTGTGAAATGTTAGGATGTCAGAATTTGGCAGTGAATGAGGGGAAAACCCACATAACAAGGATCAGAGAAAAGTTTCTTTCATGGCTTACAAAAGCAAAACCTTTGCTTACTAGGGATCACTCAGAATGTGAAATATGTACCTTCACTGTTAACAATGATTGAAGCAGCTCCAGTAGCAGCAGTCTCAGACTGACCTACAAATTCTGAGAAAAGGAAAAGTTACTGTATTATTTCAACAACAGCAAGTGATGCGGTTTAATTGCAACAAATCTGAAATAAATCCATAACCTCCTCCAATATTTAAAAATGCTAATAACTATTTCATGTTATGCCAGAGAAACTTAACAACAATAAAAGTTAGGTTACAGCCACAAAAAAGCAACTCTGAGCCCAGTGTAGCTATGTCTCTGCTACAGTGATGAGACACTTTTATCCAGAGAAACAACAGATTCTAGGCTGGAGAAAATTAAAGCACTGGAATAAAACAGCGTATTTCCCCCTCTTAATTTTCTGTTGAGTTCTATTTCAGAAGGAAAGGCAGCCTACATTAATGAAGATGGAGATTATGGCAAGGCTGTACATTTCTTCTTTAGATTAATCCATTCAGCTAAATTATTATAGGCTAAGCCTGTTACTATGGTTGCCCAATACTTTCTGTTATAAAACCCAGTTTTCAGTTACATAGAACTTTGCCAGATATTAACCTTTTGGGCTGACACTTTCCAGGCCAGGTGATTGCCTCTATCTGATTATTAAAGTTTCTGGAAAATTTCAGTCAAAATGATGGGTTTTAGCAATGCAGAGCTACATTTGAGGGACAGTCTTGCTTAGATCCTTCTAGCCTGTGGGCTCAATACAGATGGAACTTTGGGGCAATGCTTCAGCAAATTTCTACTGAGTATGGGTATGTCTACACTAGCCCCCTAGATCGATCTAGGGAGGGTAATGAGGGTGACTAAAGTTGCAAATGAAGCGCGGGATTTAAATATCCTGCGCTTGATTTACATGTTCCCAGCCGGTCGCCATTTTAGAAATTGACTAGCCCGAAGTAACTGCCCGTGTCTACACGCGGCAGCGAAATGGGATTCCGAAATAAAGCCCTAAATCGAATTAGCTGATATTCCTCCTGGAATGAGGAATCCCGCGCTTCATTTGCAATTTCGGTCGCCCTCATTCGCCTCCCTAGTTCGATCTAGGGGGCTAGTATAGACATATCCTATATGTGGCTGCAATTTTTCAACGGCTTATTCCTTGGCCAAATCAAATGAAACCACCACAATATTTTAACATAGGCAAAGCAATTTATTTTCCCTAACTCCATTCTCAGAAACAAATGGACTATTCTGGGCTGAAATTTCCCACAAAAAGTTTAACCTGAGGTTGACACCTGGCATGGAAATTTCAACTTGAACAGTTCAAGTATGACAAAGTTATGAGTAACTGAAAATTGGGTCTTATAATGAGAAGAATCAAACAATCTTCACCAAAATCTGTACTAGGAGTCCTGTCTATAACTGAGTGTAACGGGATGTTGCAACGCTGCACTAACCACGGCCCCCTCCAAGGGGCCAGGGAGATGCGGAGCGGCTTTCTCACTGTAAGAGAAGCGGTGGCGGAGGCGGAAGGGACATGCCTCCTGACTGGCAGCTCGGCTGGCACTCCCCCTGCTCAGCGGATGCGTGCTGCACAGGCAGCATCAGAGCCGGTGCCCCCGCTGACGCCCCAGGGGAAATCCCGATGCCCGTTGATGTCAGCACGGGGGAGGACGCTGGGGGTGGGGGCAGCAGGAAAGGGGGAGGAGCCACCTGGGGGACGCCGGCGCAGGCATCCTGGAGAGGAAGGGCAGCACCCTCCACAGGATAAAGCTGACAAAGACATTGGGACCGGGGAGGCCAGAGAAAGCACCGGATGAAGGGGCTCAGGGCCTCGAGGAAGCAGCAGGAGAAGCACCCTGGTGAGAGGGGGTTAGGAAGCAGCCCAGGGCGGGTGCAGACAGTGGCCCGCGGGCTGATGAGTTGCGGCACGTAGCCCCATCAGTGAGGTGAGGGGAAAGAGGATATTCTCCCCTGCCTTAGGGCCCTGGGCTGGGGTCTGGAGAGAGGGAGGGCCTGGACCCCCCTCACTTCCCCGCTCGGGGGACTGTCGGGATGACCAGAGAGAGCGACGGAACCTCTCGATTCGGCGGGATGGGAGGAAAGCCGGAGCAGAGAAAGGGGCTGGGGAACATGACCAGGGATGTCCGTGCAAGAGCCCCATGACTCGTGGTGGAGAATGTGGGTAGACAGGAGGCCCCGAGTGTAGGGGGGTGCTAGAGAGAGCCAGGGAGGCTCTGGGTTAAGGATAAGGGGTAAGTTTGTGTCTTTAAGGAGATCATCAAATGGAGGTGGCAAAGGTATTGGAATGGGTGATGGAGAAGCAGCAGCACCAGCAGACCCAGATCGTGCAGCAGCTGGTGTCACAGTTTCAAGAAGAACAGTGGCAGCTGATCCGAGAGCTCACGGAGCATCAGCAGGCCACGGAGGGCAGGCGGGTAAGAGGGGAAGCCCCTCTGCCAGGTGAGGAAGGTGGAGCTAGCAGGGCACAGCTGCCCATCCGGCTGGCGAAGTTGGGCCCAGAGGATGACGTAGAAGCATTCCTAGTGACGTTCGAGAGGGTGGCCACAGCGGCGAGGTGGCCGGAGGAACATTGGGTGACCATAGTGGCCTGCCACTTGTCAGGGCCGGCCCAGCTGGCGTACCGGGGGCTGTCCGCAAAAGATGCTCTACATTATTATAAAGTGAAAGAAGCAATCTTAGATCAGGTAGGGATAACCCCGAAAACGTACCACCAGCGGTTCCGACAAGAGCGCTATCGGTAGGGAGAGAGACCCAGGGCAGTTGCAGAGCGCCTGAAAGAATCAGGGACGAGGTGGCTGGAGCCCAAGTCTAAGACCGGGGTGCAGGTAGCCGAAACCATCATTTTGGAGCAATTTGTGCAGATATTACCTGCGGAAGGACAGAGGTGGGTCCGATGTCACCACCCCTCGACCCTAGTGGAAGCGGTGACAACAGCAACCGCGAGGGATATTGGATCTAGTAAAAGAATACTGGGAGGACCAAGAGTCAAGGGCCCAGAGAACGGTTCAATATGTGCTGCACCTCAGGGAAAAGTTGCAATCCCTCGGAGAATTAACGAAGGGCAATTTAGAAAAGGTCCAGGGACAACAGGAAGCACGATATAATCAGGGGGCCCGCTTGAGGAAGTTTGCACTGGGAGACTAAGTCTTATTGTTGCTACCTGTTCGGGACTCTAAGCTGCTGGCGAAATGGCAAGGCCCGTTTGAAGTCCTGAGGAGGGTCAGGAAGGTGGATTATGAGATAAGACTATATGGAAAGAGGAAGAACACCCAGATATATCATATAAACCTGTTAAAGAGGTGGAAGCCTTGAAAAGCGCTCTTCATTGACCCTCAGCCCCCCGAGTTGGACTTGGGCCTGTGGTGTGAACCAGAGGAGGAGCCGTGAATAGAGGGGGAGCTGACACCCGTGCAAAGGAAGGAGGTAGAGCAGTTGCTGCAGGCGTTTCCCACGTATTGACCAGCTGGCCGGGTAAGACCACCATCGCGAGCCACGAGATATACACAGAACCAGGGAGGAAGGTTCGTAACGCTCTCAGGCCCTTACCCTGGAAATTGTGGGAACCTGTGAGACAGGAACTACAGATGATGTTATAGTGGGGGGTGGTAGAGGAGGCGGAGCCCAATAGTGTTAGTCCCAAAGGCGGATAAAACACTGTGGTTTTGTATAGATTTCCGCGGGGTGAATGCCATCTTCCAATTTGATGCCTACCCCGTGCCTCGGGTAGATGAGCTCCTAGAATGAATTGGGGAAGCTCAGTACCTCTGCACGATCGATCTCACAAAGGGGTATTGGCAAATCTGGTTAGCCCCCAGGGCAAGAGAAAAGACGGCCTTCGTGACCCTGTTTGGATGGTATCAGTTTATAACTATGCCATTCGGGCTCTATGGCGCAGCCGCAACATTCCAGTGACTCATGGACCACGTATTGCGTAAACACCAGCCGTACGCCGTTGTGTATATTGATGACATCATCATCTTCAGCACAACCTGGATCCAGCATCTGCAGCATGTATGCATTATACTCGAGACACTGGCAGAAGCCGGCTTGACAGCGAACCCGAAGAAATGTAGGTTTGGGTGCTGGGAAGTATCGTACTTAGGATATACTGTGGGAGGAGGGCGACTGTAACCCTTAGTGGACAAAGTGAGTGCAGTACGGGATTACCCTCTGCCAGTAACCAAAAGACAAATACGGCAGTTCCTGGGGTTAGTAGGGTACTATAGACGGTTCATAGCCGATTTTGCAACCCTAGCAGCTCCTTTAATGGACATGACACAAAATAATCAACCCCAAAAAGTGCAGTGGACAGAAAGGGGTAGGCAGGTGTTAGACGCCATCAAACAGTGCCTAGTGTCCGCCCCAGTACTACGGCAACCAGATTTCTCAAAACCGTTCATCTTGCAAACAGATGCTTCCGAGGTAGGATTAGGGGCAGTATTGGCGCAGAAAGTGGGAGGGCAGGAACATCCAGTGTTATATGTGAGTCGCAAGTTGTTCTCCTGGGAAAGAAACTATGCGACTATTGAAAAGGAGGCCCTGGCGCGCTATTATCTTTTAGGAGATCGGTTCCTGCTGGTTATGGACCATGCACCATTAAAATGGATCCAATCGATGAAAGAGACGAATGCGCGAATAATGCGGTGGTACTTGGCTCTCCAGCTGTACTGTTTCCAGGTGATACACTACCCAGGGGCAGCGCACCAGAACACAGACATCCTTTCGCGAAGTGCGGAAAGAACAGGTGAGGTGGGGGAATCCCCAGAACTCGACTTAAAGGGGGAGGTGTGTGACGTGGTGGCGCAACCCCGCACTAACCACGCCCCCCCCAGGGGGTCAGGGAGATGCGGAGCGGCTTTCCCCACCACGAGGAAAGCGGCTGCGGAGGCGGAAGGGACGCGCCGCCTGACTAGTGGCTTGGCCGGCAGTCCCCTGGACGCAACGGGGCGGATTTCCCCGCTCCGGGAGAGACGGCTGCAGCAGCGGATGCGTGCTGCACAGGCAGCATCAGAGCCAGTGCCCCCGATGGCGCCCCAGGGGAAACCCTGACGCCCGCTGATGTCAGCACGGGGGAGGATGCTGGGGGCAGGGGCAGCAGGAAAGGGGGAGGAGCCGCCCGGGGGACACCGGCACAGGCGTCCTGGAGAGGAAGGGCAGCACCCTCCACAGGATAAAGCCAACAAAGACATTGGGACCGGGGAGGCCAAGGAGAGCACTGGATGAAGGGGCTCAGGGCCTCGAGGAAGCAGCGGGAAAAGCACCCTGGTGAGTGGGGGTGAGGAAGCAGCCCAGGGTGGGTGCAGACTGTGTCCTGCAAGTTGATGAGTTGTGGCACGTAGCCCCATCAGCGAGGTGAGGGGAAAGAGGATATTCCCTTCTCCCCTGCCTTAGGGCCCTGGTCTGGGGTCTAGTGAGAGGGAGGGCCCGGATCCCCCTCACCTCCCCGTTTGGGGGATTGTCAGGACGATCAGAGAGAGCAACGGAACCTCTCGATCCAGTGGGATGGGAGGAAAGCCAGAGCAGAGAAAGGGGCTGGGGAACATGACCAGGGAGGTCCGTGCAAGAGCCCCGTGACACTGAGATAGAGAAACTAAGATTTAGATGCAGACTTCCCGAAAAAAGTGGATATAAAAATGTGGCTGCCTTCTGAGATATGTAACAATAACACTGCAGGTTGGGACAGTTAATACCTCATTGTAATATATGGATCAAATATACTCAGTTTACAAGCAAAAAGATATTTTCTTTAATTACCAGCCTTGCAAAGTTAGCTTGGGATATAAGTGTCAAACTGGACTGCTCACCTCACATCTCACCATCAGTAACTGACATACTAAAGGCTGGTATAGACAATTGTGCAACCTCCCTCTCTGTTCAACTGTGCCATTAGAGACACTTGTGCACTTCTACTGATTTCAATTGGGACTTATTCAATAGTTCTGTTGGGGCCTGACCCCAACATCCAACATGGGAAAGACTCTCATCGACTGTAAGATGTTTTGCACCAGGCCATTGGTGATGCAGAAGAAGAAAGCAGAAGAGCAGTTCAAGTCTCTCACTCTCTACCTAGGCTGACTTTGCATGGCTAACAAGAGTAAAATGCAACAAAACTTTGTTTTCATCACTGAAGAGAACAGGTGAGATATTCAGGACACACACACATTGAAAGTGCCATTTATATAAATTCACATTACAGAAAAGAACTAACCAAGCCACGCTTTAAGGAGGGACAAAGTGTCTTTGTAGCGACTTATATAAAAGTAGCACTTTTTCTGTCTTTGAAGTCAATCCATCCTCTGATGATTTAGGTTCCACTATTTATTGGTATAAATCAACATTGAACATTTAGGACACTAATTTTGGAAGCTTCAATACTTGGGTGCTTAACCAGAACCTCATTTTTCAGTTATGCAAAGCATGTGTAACTCCTATAAATTTCAAATGAGTTGTTGGTTCCCAGTGCTCCTGAATATAAGTCTCTAGGTGCCTCAAATTTGATCCAAAGTTAGTGGCCACCTTTGAAAATGCTGGCCTAAAGATTTAACATTTGAACCATGTAATGAAAAATATACTGCAAAGTACCATTCTGCATCAGCATGGGGGTGTGAATTAATCTATCAATGTACCCTTCTCCCTCCTCCATTACTAGTTTCAAATTTTATCTTAACAGATTAACTGACATGTTTTTAAAAACTGAAATTTTACCTGTAGAAATCCCATTTCTCTTGAAATTTTCAATGTAATCATTGCCAAATGAGTCCTTCCCAACCTAAAAAGAAGGAAGTTATGAACATTATATCTTTTATGGTTCACAAACTGATGCAATACAGCCATCAGCCACTAGTCTTAATTTTACAGCTCTTTTATCTCAGTTACTTGATGAAATAGCATTTTGCAGCTCTAAAATAAGAAATCCACAAACAAAATGATGCACCATTCACAGGCTATATCTACACTACAGAGTTATGTCTGAAAAACAGATGGTTTTCTGAAAAAAACTTCACTTATGTCCACATTGCAATCGCGTTCTTTCGGGAAAAAAATTGAAAGAATAGAGGGGTTTTTTTCGACATTGGTAAACCTCTTTCTATGAGGAAGAAACCTTTTTCTGAAAGAGCTCTTTCAGAAAAAGGCATGTGCAGATGGGGAAGAGGGAGTTCTTTTGGAAGAAGAGGAAAGAGGAAAAAGCACAGGTGCCCTGGTGGCCACTCCATCCATAGTAATCACAGCTTACATGCGAGATAGTGTCCATTCAGTCTGCACGCTATCTTTCGAAAAAGCAGATCACTTTTTCAATGTGGTTTGGCAGTGTGGACGCTCTCTTTCTGAAGAAGTTTTTTTGGAAGATCTCTTTGGAAAAATTTTTTCCAAAAGAAGCCTGCAGTCTAGATGTAGCCACACTCACCTAGAATCACTGTCATAACTCACTCATCTTTCTAACCTAACTTGAATACTTTGTGGCAAAAACTTACACTAAGACAGAGTTAAGGATGTTTGGTGGCACATCATACCCTTGCAGAACACTGAGTGAGCAAAACACATACTTCTGAAAACCAGAAAATCCACAGTTAAAGTTGCCCATGAAACCTTAACTCTATCCACTTTCAGCAGTGCCCCATTATGCTCGATTAACACGCATTTACTCTGCTATGCCTATCCTTACTGAAATATATAAACACTTCACCCCTTTTTATAACCCATTCACTCTCACTCACATTATTCCATCTAACATCTAATAACAAAGACAGTCCTTACCCCCAAAGAACTTGCAGTGTAAATTAATTCATGGATGTGTGCAGCAGGGCATACGTATGTGTTGGGATGCACTGACAGAATTGTTGTGTAGAGAGGACTGAAGTGCACTGGCACAGCTTTGGGGTGCAAGAAGATTGGGGTCCACTGACAGAGACGGAGTTGCAGGGTGAATAGGGAACCCTAGCAGACATAGGGGCATAAGGTTGCACTGACACTGTTTGGGGTACAAAGGGTTTGGAGCGTACTGGTAGACCAATGGAGTGTAGGAAGGTAGCTATAAAAATAATATGTAACAAATGGGAAAAGGGGGAAGTTGATAATAATGAATATAAATCAGAAGCTTTAAAGCAAAAGGAACTGTAGAAAACTGGTAAGGGGAGCAAAGAGATAAAAGAAGAAATGTATGGTCAGCAGTGTTAAGGACAACAATAAGGAGTCTTTTAAGTACATTAAGAACAAAAGAAATCATAACAATAGCATCAATCCATTCCTAGATATAAATAGTAATATAATTCATGCCAATCAACATGGGTTTATGGAAAATAGACCCCGTTTGTAACAGAATATCCCTTCACTCAGCTGGTGAATACTGTAGCCAAGACTGTTCCTCTGGTATCCAAGCCACAAACACATGCAGACTGATTCTCCTTCACCATGTCTGCATTAAATCTTCAGTTCAAAGCACAACAGAATATACCACAAGTTTATAGCAGGAGGAATTTTATGCAAAGCTTTCTTTTTTCTCCAAGGTATACCTACTGCATTCCCCATACTTCCTGTTTCTTTTAAATATATCCACCTAGTAACTTAACCAATTTCCTCATTAGCCCAAGCATCAGTAGTCCTGAGAAGAGACTAATTAGTTGACTTCAATTAAACCTGTAATTTTTCCCAAGTTCACGCTCCCTAGCAGCACTCTCAGGCTGTGTCTAGACTACATGCCTCAGAGGCATGTAGATTAGACACATAGGCAAAGGCAAATGAAGCCGCGATTTAAATGATCGCGGCTTCATTTACATTTACATGGCTGCCACGCTGAGCCAACAAACAGCTGATCAGCTGTTTGTCCACTCAGCGCGCTAGTCTGGACGCTCCCCTGCCGACATCAAAGCCCTTTGTCGGCAGCCCCGTTATTCCTCGTGGGATGAGGTTTACCGGGGCTGCCGACAAAGGGCTTTGATGTCGGCAGGGGAGCGTCCAGACTAGCGTGCCGAGCGGACAAACAACTGATCAGCTGTTTGTCGGCTCAGCGCGGCAGCCATGTAAATGTAAATGAAGCCGCGATCATTTAAATTGCGGCTTCATTTACCTTTGCCAAAACAACAAATCTACATGGCTCTGTCAATGGAGCCATGTAGTTTAGACGTACCCTCAGTGAGAAGGGAACCAATGTTAGTGCCCTGTTCCACTGCACTGTCAAAGTAATTTGATATCTCTTTTTTTAAATAAGATTGCAAAATGGACTGAGAAAGGCAGCACTGCTGTGGTACATCAGAACATAAGAATGGCCATATTAGGTCAGACCAAAGGTCCATCTAGCCCAATATCCTGTTTGCCAACAGTGACCACTACCAGATGCCCCAGAGCTGTGGTCACCAACGAGTAGATTGGGATCTACCGGTAGATCTTGGAGTCTCTGACAAGGGATTCTGACTGGTTTGGCCAAGAGACTATCAAGGGCTGGCACTTCAGCTGCACCTCCCCCCACAGATGTGCACCTCCTGCCCTTTGCCTTGGAGCTGTCCCCTCAGGAGCCTCCTGCTTTCTGTGCAGAGCAGAGGAGGTGGGCTGATGTCAAGATGCCCCCTCTCCCACGCTGTATCCTATCTCCACAGAGCTGAGAAAGGGCACAACAAGACTCGGGATGGAGTTTGCTGGCTGCTTTTGGGAGTGGTGCAGGGCCAATGCAGGGGCGAGCCTGACTTAGCCCCACTGCACCACCACCCAGGAGCCACCTGAGGTAAGGAGGGCCCAGCTGGAGCCCACTTCCTGAAACTCTACCCCAGTCATGAACCTCACCCCCTCACCTCTAGCTCCTGCCCTAGCCCTGAACACCTCTGTATCCAAATGCTCTCCCAGAGCCTGCACCTAGAACCCCCTCTGACATCCCAACTGCCTGCCCCAAGCTCAGCTCAGAGAACTTCTCACACTCCAAGTCCCTTAATCCAAGACCAGAGCCTGCACCCCAACCCTCTGTCATAGCCTGGTGAAAGGGAGGGAGGACAGCAGAGTGAGGGAGGATGGAGTGAGCAGGGGCAGGGCCTCAGAGGAGCACAAAGGAGGCAGGGCAAGGGTATTTGGGTTTGAGATAGATCTTGGATTACACTTAAATTCAAAAAGTGATCTTGTGCTTAAAAAGGTTGGAGACCACTGCCTCAGAGGGAGGGATCACAACAGGTAAGCATCACGTGATACCGCTCCTGTCATCCGTTTCCTGACAGAGGCCAGGGACACCATTCCTACCCATCCTGGCTAATAGCCATTGATGGACCTAACCTCTATGAATTTATCTAGCTCTTTTTTGAACCCAGTTATAAAGTTTTAGCCTTCATCACATCCTCTGGCAAGGAGTTCCACAGGTTGACTGTGTGCTGACTGAAGAAAAACTTCCTTTTGTTTGTTTTAAACCTGCTGCCTATTAATTTCATACGGTGACTGTGGTGGGGCGGCCGGGGCTGAAGGGTTAAGCCCCACACCCCGCAGCATGCAAGGCCGGGGATTCCCCTGGCCAAAGCGCCAGGGGACGGGGGCCGAGAAGCGCATGCGCCAGTGTCCTGGGAAGAAGGCGCTGGCTTTAAAAGGGAGGACGCCCGCCCTCAAGAGAGAGGGAGGGCAGGAGTCGGGTGGGCGGCAGGGATCCACGAGGCGGACCAACCTGGACCAGGCGACAGAGAAGCCACAGGACCTCCCCTTCCAGACGCCGAGGCCGGAGAGATACCAGGCGACCAGGGAAGCGAGCGGAGCAGAGCAGCCAGGACAGAGGACAGCCGAGGGAAGGAAGCAGCCCAGGACAGGGTCAAGGAGGACCTGAAGGTCAGTGAGTTGCGGCAGTGGCGCCCCTCCCCCAGCCGAGCTGGGCATCAGTTACGCCCGCTCTTAGGGTCCTGGGCTGGGACCTGGGGAAAGGGAGGGTCCAGGTCCCCCTTCCCTCCTGGCGATCACCTGGACGCAGTGGGCAACCTAATGATTGACCAAGGGCTACCAAATACTGAGGCAACTGCGGGGGGGAGGGGTTGTAACGACTGGTAAGGGGGGCAACCCCAAAGGGAGAATCAACCCCGGAGAGGGGACAACCCCCTAACGGTGACCCTTAGTTCTTTTATTGTGGGAATAAGTAAATAACTTTTCCATATTCACTTTTTCTATCCCAGTCATAATTTTATAGACCTCTATCATATCCCCCCTTAGTCTCCTCTTTTCTAAACTGAAAAGTCCAAGTATTTTTAATCTCTCTTCATATGGGACCTGTTCCAAACTCCTAATAATTTTTGTTGCACTTTTTTGAACCTTTTCCGATGACAACTGGACGTAGGTAATAGACTTCTGGTACCCCATGGCATTTTGATTAAAAAAACCAAGATAGATAAAATTAACATGGATGACATTAAGTGGATTAAAAGCTGGCTAACTGGTTGATTCCTCATCACTGGCAGTTATTAAACCAAGACAGGACATTTTTCTGAAATACATGGTCTATAAACGATTTTGGGGAAGTTCTGTGGCCTGTGTTATATAGAGGTCAGGTGATATGATTACAATGCTTCCCTTCTGGTCTTGGAATCTCTCAGTCTCTGAAGGATTGTTGAGGTACAAAGGTGTCTGGGTACACTGGGCCCTCATCTGAGCCCCCAAACACACTGCTCTCCCTTATCCTTCCCCATATGACTCCCCCTTCCTGTCATTGCAGTCCCAAATACCTCTTCCCAGTACACCTCCACCCTTGGCTTCTGAAGTTCATCCCCTCCCAGGATGGGCATTCACGTGTCTTTTTTTTCACCAAATACTTTGATTATA